CCAAGTATTTTTTGAATACATAGGAAACGCCAGGATGAATTTCCGTGGCTGAATGAAAAAAATGAAATTTCCAGTGCTCTTAATAATTGATGGTCATCTTAGCCATTAAACATTAAATGTGTGTCGGCTATATGTGAAGCTAATAACATTATATTATGCTCTTCTCCCATAGTCCAGCAACTACTCTTGGGTGTGCAAACTTGCGTATGCTAAATATTCTTGCATAACCTTTTAGTTTAATGTCTAGGGAGTTTAAACTGACTGAAACTGTGTGTTTACCTCCTACCCCCCACGTTTTCCGGCTATGACGTCATCAATATGGCGGCAAAGGATTTATTATTAAGTATGTATTTCGCATAACATGTATCGGATCGGGATATACTTTTTTTATTGAAAGATAACTTTACAGGCTATCTTTCTTTTATTTCCACATTTGTTGTATCTTTAGTACATTTTTCAAGCAAAACCCCGTATTTTTAAATATTTTTATGTGGTATTGGTAAAACCCGATTTATTGATACAATATATAAAAAAACAACCAATGACAAAAGTTGTAGAACGTTTTAAGAGCTTTACAAACATACCATATTTATATTCTTACTCAAAGGATAAAGTCAAGAAACTAGATAAATCTCACAAAAACACCTATTAGTCTGACATCTAGGCTGTGTGGATGTCATTTATAGAAAGACTGACCATTAAATGTCAATTTAGGTGTCTAAAAAAGGATTTTCCACTCGGATGTCACGTCTGCATCCACTGCATTTTCCTGGTATGACGTCATCAAAATATCTGACATATAACGTTTTCACCACCTGTTTTGCTTAAAATAACACGATTACCCCCTTTTATGCATATAAAAGCACAACAATCAATGTAATTGATCTAAAGGATTGTTCCAACTATATAAAAATGCGTTTTTGAAAATCACATCAGTGCTGCTCCGCCATTTTGACCAACCATTCTCAATTTTTTATCTAAGCTTTTAGTTTGTAAGGCAAATTGTGAGGCTCACGGTAAACTGAGAAATGTTTTTTATTATTATACACGCCGGTGGTGAAATGGGGTTTATCCCAAACGCGTTCAAGACATGGAAAGCTTCAAAACATACGAGGGACTAGTACGACAATGTTAATCAGGAAACGTTTATGAAGTGTTTGACGAAGAAACTTCTTCCAAATTTAAAGCCAGAAGTGTTTTAGTAGTGGATAACGCTTCATACCACAACGTACTAATTGAAAAGGCTCCGACAGCGAAAAGTAGAAAACATGGAAGAAAAGCATGGAAGAATGGCTATCCAACATCCCATTCACCGAACTCGTTCGTCCCAGTACTGTATCAATTGATAATCTGTACAAATCAAGACTACTCCGCTATCTTCTGGATGAAACAGTGAAGGGAGAAGGTCGCCTAAGGCCGAGACTCCCTCCTTATCACTCGGACGTATACCTAATTGAGCTAGTATGGGCAGACATTAAAGGTTTTCTGGCAAGGAGAAATGTTTCATTCAACTCTTCTCAAGTACAAAAATAACAGAAGACAAGATAGCGAGTATGGGTCAAGATGATTCGACAAGGATGTGTGAGCGAGTGAAAATAATTGAGAATGAATACTTGGCAAACGAAGGGGGAATCGATAATTTCTAAAATATTAGAACAAAAATATTAGTAGGGTAATTTTGTATCTTGATGAATTACTTTATTTGTGACAAACCAAGGTGCTTGTAAAATTTTTCTCAGTGTTTTCGATTGAAACCTTTGAACTATTTCTATGTTTGAGTTGGAAGTGGTTCCCCAGAGTTGGATACCGTAGGTCCAAATAGGTTTCAATATAATTTTGAATAAAAGTAAAAAAACAAGTGTCTGTTTATAAAGTAGCTGATTATGACATGCTCATTACAAAACACGAAAAGATTTCTGTCAACGCGTTGAAACCACCAGAAAAAGACGAAAGGTTGTTCGTAACCGTAAGTAACAATATGCTTTGTAATTGAATATTAAAACGTAATGCATTACCTGACAATTCAGGCAGCTTGAAGCCGAAGGTGACAAGATATACAAATATATTTATCTCAAAAGGCTGTAACATATTACATTTAATATATCTTTGTACAAGCAAGATTACAACCATAAAAAAAAACAAAAGAAAAACGGGAAAATGAAGAAAGTCTGAACATTACATAAACTTTCAAGAAATATACTTGTGATAAGCAAGGAAGGGCCTATTTGGAAGGGTGATCACTGTTCGGAATTTTTTTATCTAAGAGGGTCTTCATCCCAGATGGCATGATAAACATGATGACAAAGCCATTGCGGCTATATTGTACATAATAAATATAATTGGTTTATAGAATGTAAATATTATGTTTATTATTTTGTAAGATATTTAAGTAGACTACTTGACAAGGCTGAAATGTCGCTTCTTGTATTGTCCGACTTTGTTTGGGTTTGAAAAAGAAAAGTTTTTACTAATAGTAATGTAAAGGAAAAATAATGTTAATAGTAATGTAATAGTAATATCAGAGAACGACACATCATGTAAATACCGTACTTGAGGCAAACTTCGCCCTTGAATTATAAAAGTGTTAAGTATATGATAATTGTTCAAGGGACAAATTGTTTCCACTGAAACAGTAGGAAAACTTCAGTTAATACACGTTTTGGATTATTTTGATGTTTGCCTCAAACATTTTATTTGCCTATATCATGTCAAAAGTGTAAGAAAATAAATAGCTAATTAAACGTATATCTATAAAAACGCCTACTAATAAAAAAAATGTACACTATAAATTTTATAATTTAATTTGTTCTAAATAAATTAAAATATCAGTGGAATAAAATTCCGCTTCCCCAAGATAGATACTAGCACTAACGTGTTAGTGTACTATTTAATGTTTCTTCTATTCCTTACTTCTATGTGCCAAAACCTGTGTACCTCAGACCCTTCCTTACTAAAATATTACAGGTCAATAATGTTAAAATTGTCCAGGCGGAGTCTTTGAATGGGATCATTCCCGGGGAGGTGGTGAAGAATGGGGAGGTTATTCTTACGCAAGATTTCCCACCAATTCAGCCCTCTGGGTCGTCAGAACCACTGTGGGATTTGGAGGTGACAGTGTGTGAAGTGATGTCACCTCTAAATTTTTATTTCGTTCTGAACAACAGATTAGAAAGTCTTCAAAACATGATGGACAACTTGCAGTAAGTACCACAATGCCCGTAATATTTTATTCATACGACTACCATAAACAATATGGCAATGGTATAGTTCACCACAAGTCCCAAAAGTAAACCATTTCTAGTCCAGTCAATGAATGATCCAAAAGCGGGTGTAGAGTTCGTGGGCAGGTAACTAAACGATTCTTTTAGAAACTTGTTCAGGAGGATTAGTGTGTTAACATACCAAAATCCTGACTCCTAGGTTTTGAGCCAGGGTAGTGGAGGGGGTAAAGGAAGGGGGGGGGGGGTAAAGGGACGGATTTTGGGCTTTTTGTTTCTATCTCGAAAACTATAAACTTTTTGTATACTATACTAAATTATAAAATTGAAGATTATTTTTTTTAGAAGAAAAGTATACAATGCGTTTATTTTGGTTAAACATATTACATTATGTGTTTCAGCCATAAATGTTTATCCTGGGAAGGAAATAAAAAAAAAAAGAATGCTTGAATCATGTGACGAAACGGTTAGGAAAAGGCCGAAGAAAAATTGTGACTGCTAACCGTGGCACAGGTGATCCGCTTGGCGGTAAGGCCTACGGTAGCCTAAAGGCGAGTACTATAGAAAAACTAACAGCCTAATACAGGAATGCAGTACAAAGCAATATTGGAACCAGTGTTGATCACATGCAGCTAAAGGGAAGAATGTTTGTATCATCAATGCATGTGTCCAGTGTCAGGGTTAGGGAGGCAACAATACGGTACTGCAGCAAGGAGGACTTCCTTGTTTGTACAATTGCAAGATCTCAGAACTGTCTGATTATGCGAAGTCGCTTATCCTCCTTTCTCAGATGTCAGGACCAAGTATGATTCACTTGCTTACCAAAATGAGCACAGTTTAAAGTATTTCAATGATGTTTATGCTGAGATGAAGCAGAAAAAACTTCCACAATTTGGTGGTTATAAGATGAATCATCAGTTAAATCATGGATGGGTTGGAGAGGCAATCAAACGCCACTTGTTTTTCAGTGGAGAGGCCAACATGAGTAAAACAGCCTTTGCCTATGGGGTGTTGTCCTTGGAGGACCAGTCTTGTCGCATGTTCCTTCCTAGCGACAGTGGTGACTTCTTTATGAGTGACTTAAATCCTACGGTGCACAACTGATTGTGTTTGACGAGTTCACACTAGGATTCCATAAAAAAAAATTTCATGCTACTCGACCCTTTACTTAGTGGTGATAAGGTTAATGTCGACCAGAAGTGCCGAGGCTACGCCATCCCAGTTCGTTGGACGGATGCTATCATAATTCTCTCCAACCACCCTTTATCTGAGTTTGAACCGACCTTCCAGTCAAGGGTTAAGGAGGTTGTGGCCGATAGACCAATCCAGGAACTTATTGATGAGTATAATAACCTTAATGGAATTCAGTGTATGTTTCCGTCATCCATTAACGACGTTAGACCCGTTCAGATCTTCGACTACCAGTACAATGAGTACCTGGTGTACTATGGTAGGCATGTGCCTGAGGGTTCTCGTTTGTGTGCCGGTGGAGAACCTTTACAACTTGACTCAGGTGTTGAGTCCCAGTCTTCAGCCGTTGCGGAAGCTCTGGAATTACACACCTCCCAGACTCATAATGATAACTCTCTTCACGACTCTGTTATTGCTTCGGCATCATCCTCTCGCTCCTCAGTGGGCTCACGTGCCCGAAGTGTTGCAACGTCTTCTTCCAGACGCACTACGTCAAGGAATGTCAGTACTTCACGCTCTGTTTCGGATAGAAGTGGCTGTTCCAATATGCCTACCCCTGGTCAAAGGATGGGGTCAAAGTTACAACCTTAACTACATAGTACACATGTTTCCTCTACCGTGCATCAACAGTGACAGGGGCTCAGTATGTGTTTTCTTTGAATCCGTGATGGATGTAAGAAAGAAGTTGTATGGACTATCGGCCTTGAGCTTCTCACAGATCTTTCCTTGGCTGCGTTTCTTGGCCTCATGCATGTACTTCATGGCCTCTCCCATGTTGCGGGATTCTTGCATGCGTCTACGGTGCTCCTTACTACTGACTGGGATGCTGCAGAAAAAACTCAATGCTACGGAGAAATGTTTTGTAAATTAAATTATAAATAAATCTACTTATTGATTAAGCTAGGCTAGTTAAATCAAGGACAAGAAACTAAGTAAGGTTCAATGTGGCCATATCTTGCGATCTCGGGGACACCGCTGATCGTCTCTCGCAATCACAAAACACTCTTGAGCATATTTTGGGATCTCATCTTCATCACTGATTTTCTCTGACAATCCTGTCAACTCACAAATGTAATCTCGACTGTAGGTAGTAAGGTTATTAGTATCGAGAACTGATTTTTATTAGAATTAGTTACTGATACTGACCTAAAAATGTGATGGCACATTGGTAATTATTACTTTTTATTAAGGTTACATCACAATTAAATACAATTAATTATCTTGCAATGTGTACACCTTCATTCAATAAATGTTAGGTACTGAACTATGAATCGATGAAGGGGGGGGGGGGTAGGTACAACTCAAAATTCTAGGCAATGGCCTCCTCCAAAAATCTGTCCTGGTCAAAATACTCAAAAGTTGAATTTTCCCCATTTCATGTATTACGTAAACTAAGGGAAATTGGACTACATATAACTGGAGAAAACTCAGGTGAAGAGCAGTAAAGGCCTCTGATAAAAGACCCAGACTTGGAAACTGTTAATTTTAGATCCATGAAGACAGTCATTATTAAATATTTTGGTGTAACAATAGCTAACCTCTAATGGCATTTAGTGGAAAGAGTTTTCCAATAAAGGGACAGTTTTTTCCCATCTGAGAGAAAATATTTCTTTTCTAGATGTGAATCTACAACTTGAGTTGGGCTCCAAACTGGTCACTGGAAAATCACAGAGCCGTTAGCGGTTGGCCAGAATCGGACGCAGAATTCCAGGTCAGGAGTCCTGCTTTTTAACCACCAAAAAGCCCCACCACAAAAAATGTGTACCAAAAGTGTTTTTTGACTAAAGAACCTACAACAGTTCCAAGTACCATTAAGACGTTGGAAATAGCTACTCGTCTATAATAGCAAATACAAGTCGTTTACCATTATGTTTTTTAATAAGGTAGTAAAAGAAGAATTAAAAAATAATAAATTTTGAACAAAATATATAGTTTACCTTGATTGGGTGGCCATAGTTTTCTTTATATCGTTGTTGTTAGAACTGTTGTTTCCAGAATCATTTCTTGACCCTGAGGAACTTTTTTCTCTCTTTGCCAAAGGACTGTTGTCGAGATTGCCTCGTGTCGTTCCAAGACTGGTAACATCATAAAGAGATGGCTCTCTGCCGCAAAAATGTTATTCTTAAGTGGCACAGGGTTAGGATTGATAATGTGGTACAGAAAAATGGTCTTGTCCATGGAGAGGGATATTGATGAGGTGGTAAAGTACATGATGTTTGATCCACTATTCAAAGGGGTGAGACGTCTATAAGAATGGGGAGAGACGATGGGTCCAGGAGAGATGACTTGGATGTGGTGTAGAATTCTTTTCAGCAATACGTTTTAAAATTCTCGTTAAAGCTCACCTTGATATGTGCCCTCGTGTCGTTCAACATAAAGGGATGGCTCTCTGCCACAACAATGTAATTCCTCAGTGGCACAGGGTTAGGATTGATAATGTGGTACAGAAACAATGGTCTTGACCATGGAGAGGGAAATTGATGAGGTGGTAAAGTACATGATGTTTGATCCACTATTCAAAGGGGTGAGACGTCTTTACGATTGGATAGAGACGATTGGTCCAGGAGAGGTGACTTGGATGTGGTTTAGGATTCTTGACAGAGATGAGTTATCCAAATTCTCGGTAAACAGCAACGTCAAGTTCACCTTTATATGTGCCCTCGTGTGTATCAAAGACTGATAGCATCACAAAGGGACGGCTCACTGATACAACAATGTAATTCCTCAGTGGCACAGGGTTAGGATTGATAATGTGGTACAAAAACAATGATCTTGTCTATGGAGAGGGAAATTGATGAGGTGGTAAAGTACATGATGTTTGATCCACTATTCAAAGGGGTGAGACGTCTATACGATTGGAGAGAGACGATTGGTCCAGGAGAAGCGACTTGGATGTGGTGTAGGATTCTTGACAGCGATGCGTTATCCAAATTCTCGGTAAACAGCAACGTCAAGTTCACCTTGATACGTGCCCTCGTGTCGTTCCAAGACTGGTAGCATCACAATGGGATGGCTCACTGCCACAACAATGTTATTCCTCAGTGGCACTGGGTTAGGATTGATAATGTGGTACAGAAACAATGGTCTTGTCTATGGAGAGGAAAATTGATGAGGTGGTAAAGTACATGATGTTTGATCCACTATTCAAAGGGGTGAGACGTCTATACGATTGGAGAGGGACGATTGGTCCGGGAGAGGTGACTTGGTTGTGGTGTAGGATTCTTGACAGAGATGCGTTAGGATTGATAATGTGGTACAGAAACAATGGTCTTGACCATGGAGAGGGAAATTGATGAGGTGGTAAAGTACATGATGTTTGATCCACTATTCAAAGGGGTGAGACGTCTTTACGATTGGAGAGAGACGATTGGTCCAGGAGAGGTGACTTGGATGTGGTTTAGGATTCTTGACAGAGATGAGTTATCCAAATTCTCGGTAAACAGCAACGTCAAGTTCACCTTTATATGTGCCCTCGTGTGTATCAAAGACTGATAGCATCACAAAGGGACGGCTCACTGATACAACAATGTTATTCCTCAGTGGCACTGGGTTAGGATTGATAATGTGGTACAAAAACAATGATCTTGTCTATGGAGAGGGAAATTGATGAGGTGGTAAAGTACATGATGTTTGATCCACTATTCAATGGGATGAGACGTCTATAGGAATGGGGAGAGACGATTGGTCCAGGAGAGGCGACTTGGATGTGGTGTAGGATTCTTGACAGCGTTGCGTTATCCAAATTCTCGGTAAACAGCAACGTCAAGTTCACCTTGATACGTGCCCTCGTGTCGTTCCAAGACTGGTAACATCATAAAGGGATGGCTCTCTGCCACAACAATGTAATTCCTCAGTGGCACAGGGTTAGGATTGATAATGTGGTACAGAAACAATGGTCTTGTCCATGGAGAGGGATATTGATGAGGTGGTAAAGTACATGATGTTTGATCCACTATTCAATGGGGTGAGACGTCTATACGTCTATACGAATGGGGAGAGACGATGGGTCCAGGATAGATGACTTGGGTGTGGTGTAGGATTCTTGACAGCGATGCGTTATCTAAGAAGACTTGATCGTAATAGTGCTGCACCCTGTTGGTAATCCTTGTAACTTTAATGCTATTGAACATCATAGAACAGAACCAACTTGTTTAATTGAAACAGCTGTTAAGATTCATTAATTCCATTTCTCATAAGGTTAACATGGGAAACTCCAGAGCCACTGGGGCGGAGCCCTTTTAAGAATTTCGAAACGGGAAATAGTTTACGTCCGATTCGCATACCTACAGAATTTACACACCAAATTTCATAACGATCGGTGAAGTCGTTCCGGAGGAGTTTGCAGACAAACACTGTGACACGAGAATTTTATATATTAGATATTTGCAATCTCCTTCATCTTGGAAACTGGAACAACAAAATTAACATAACAATTTAGCTAGTTACATTTCCCCGAAAGCCCTACATATCCCTAGAAAGGGATTTTCCTCCAAATAGAAACCCTGAGCGACAGTGATAACAATTTACGGTGAACAGTTCGATTTCGGTAAGATTCAGAAGCGTTCGGCACGGCGTTGTGGTGGGGGGTGTTCCTGACGGGTTGCTCTCGTCAGTACATCAGCCATGTAATATTTTTTGGCTTGCCTTTGATTTGTTTGCCATGCCTGTTATTATTTTCTTCATATGTTTGTTTTTTCTTACAGAAAGAATTTAATAAACCTCTAAGGCTAGACACTATGGATTTAAGCATTGATGACTTTGTTAGACACTTAGAAAACCAAGTATCTGCTTACAAAGTTTCTAACTACTATATACTTCTACCAATTCACGAGAAGATTCCATCCATATTTGGAAGGGTGGTCACTGTTCGGAATTTTTTTATCAAACAGGGTCTTCATCCCAAGATATTTAAGTAGACTACTTGACAAGGCTGAAATGTCGCTTCTTGTATTGCCAGACTTTGTTTGGGTTTGAAAAACAAGTTTTTAGTAATAGTAATGTTAAGTAAAAGTAATGTTAATAGTAATGTAATAGTAATATCAGAGAACGGCACTTCATGTAAATACCGTACTTGAGGCAAACTTCGCCCTTGAATTATCAAAGTGTTAAGGATATGATATTTGTTCAAGGGACAATTGTTTCCACTGAAAAAGTAGGAAAACTTCAGTTAATACACGTTTTGAATTATTTTAATGTTTGCCTCAAACATTTTATTTGCCTATATCATGTCAAAAGTGTAAGAAAATAAATAGCTAATTAAATGTATATCTATAAAAACGCCTACTAATTAAAAAATGTTTACTAAATTCTATATATGGACAGAGGGTAAAAATCCAGGCTGTACATTTTGAGCTAAATTAATGGAGGGAGTCTAATAACGGCGGTAGCATTAAGGCACACTATAAATTTTGTAATTAAATTTGTTCTAAATAAAGTAAAATTTCAGTGGAGTACAATTCCGCTTACCCAAGATAGATACTAGCACTAACGTGTTAGTGTACTATTTAATGTTTCTTCTATTCCTTACTTCTATGTGCCAAAACCTGTGTGCCTCAGACCCTTCCTTACTAAAATATTACAGGTCAGTAATGTTAACATTGTCCAGGCGGAGTCTTTGAATGGGATCATTCCCGGGGAGGTGGTGAAGAATGGGGAGGTTATTCTTACGCAAGATTTCCCACCAATTCAGCCCTCTGGGTCGTCAGAACCTTTGTGGGATTTGGAGGTGACAGTGTGTGAAGTGATGTCACCACTAAATTTTTATTTCGTTCTGAACAACAGATTAGAAAGTCTTCAAAACATGATGGACAACTTGCAGTAAGTACCACAATGCCCGTAATATTTTATTCATGCGACTACCATAAACAATATGGCAATGGTATAGTTCACCACAAGTCCCAAAAGTAAACCATTTCTAGTCCAGTCAATGAATGATCCAAAAGCGGGTGTAGAGTTCGTGGGCAGGTAACTAAGCGATTCTTTTAGAAACTTGTTCAGGAGGCTTAGTGTGTTAACATACCAAAATCCTGACTCCTAGGTTTTGAGCCAGGGTAGTGGAGGGGGTAAAGGAAGGGGGGGGGTAAAGGGACGGATTTTGGGCTTTTTGTTTCTATCTCGAAAACTATAAACTTTTTGTATACTATACTAAATTATAAAATTGAAGATTATTTTTTTTTACAAGAAAAGTATACAATGCGTTTATTTTGGTTAAACGTATTACATTATGTGTTTCAGCCATAAATGTTTATCCTGGGAAGGAAATAAAAAAAAAATGAATGCTTGAATCATGTGACGAAACGGTTAGGAAAAGGCCGAAGAAAAATTGTGACTGCTAACCGTGGCACAGGTGATCCGCTTGGCGGTAAGGCCTACGGTAGCCTAAAGGCGAGTACTATAGAAAAACTAACAGCCTAATACAGGAATGCAGTACAAAGCAATATTGGAACCAGTGTTGATCACATGCAGCTAAAGGGAAGAATGTTTGTATCATCAATGCATGTGTCCAGTGTCAGGGTTAGGGAGGCAACAATACGGTACTGCAGCAAGGAGGACTTCCTTGTTTGTACAATTGCAAGACCTCAGAACTGTCTGATTATGCGAAGTCGCTTATCCTCCTTTCTCAGATGTCAGGACCAAGTATGATTCACTTGCTTACCAAAATGAGCACAGTTTAAAGTATTTCAATGATGTTTATGCTGAGATGAAGCAGAAAAAACTTCCACAATTTGGTGGTTATAAGATGAATCATCAGTTAAATCATGGATGGGTTGGAGAGGCAATCAAACGCCACTTGTTTTTCAGTGGAGAGGCCAACATGAGTAAAACAGCCTTTGCCTATGGGGTGTTGTCCTTGGAGGACCAGTCTTGTCGCATGTTCCTGAATAGCGACAGTGGTGACTTCTTTATGAGTGACTTAAATCCTACGGTGCACAACTGATTGTGTTTGACGAGTTCACACTAGGATTCCATAAAAAAAATTTCATGCTACTTGACCCTTTACTTAGTGGTGATAAGGTTAATGTCGACCAGAAGTGCCGAGGCTACGCCATCCCAGTTCGTTGGACTGATGCTATCATAATTCTCTCCAACCACCCTTTATCTGAGTTTGAACCGACCTTCCAGTCAAGGGTTAAGGAGGTTGTGGCCGATAGACCAATCCAGGAACTTATTGATGAGTATAATAACCTTAATGGAATTCAGTGTATGTTTCC